TCACTGATGCCCTGTTCCATTTTTCCCCTCCCAATGTTTTTTCTTTCTTTTCTTCAGATTAGATAATTTTTATGGAGCTGTCTTCAAATTCATTGATGCTTTTGCCAACTCTAGTCTGTTATTATGTCCATCCATTGAATTTTTTTTCAGATAAGATTTCCATGTGGTTCTTTTCATAGTTATTATTTTTCTGCTGCTATTTCCTATCTTCTTATTCATTACATGCATATTTTCTGTACATCTTTTAGTATAGTTATAACGGCTCCTTTAAAATCCTTGTCTGATAATTCCATCAGAGTCATCTTGGATTGGTCTTCACTGATGGTCTGTTCTCTTGCCTATGAGCCACATTTCTCTGTTTCTTCATAGATAGAGTAATTTTAGATTGTATCTTGTCCGTTGATATTGTAGATACTCTAAACTCTGCTTCTCCAAAGGGTATTGATTTTTTTTGTCTCAGCAGTTAATTTGGCTTACTCAGACTTGATGCTCTGTCTTCTCATACAGTGGGTAGCAACTGAATCTTGTTCAGTTCTTTTAACCTTAGCTGGACTGCTTTGGGTCTGTCATGCTCACATGTCATTATGGGGGCCACCAGAGATTTTGAGAGTTTGTACGTAAAATTTTGGAGCTCTGCTCTGGCTCTTCATTTTCAGGAATATCCTCTCTTACTTTCCAGCTTCTGTTTGATGCCCCTTTTCCATTGTCTTTGTACTTTTGGTCACTCTCTGGTGGTCCAGTGTAGCTGGGTTTTATGTATGTCCAGAATTGTTGTTAGAGTTTAGTTCACTATTACCTGAAGGAGGGTCCTGGTTTGTGATAATTTTGATTATGAAGCCAGCGTGACTGGCTGATGAATTGGATGTAGAGGGTGGTGGGGACAGGGGTGTGAGCAAAAGAGCAGAATCAATGATGATTATTCCATTTTTTTGGCTTAAGCAGCTGGGAGGATGGTTTTATCATTTCTGTGATAAAGAAGACTAGGGGAAGAGCATGATTGGCTAGGGGAGAGAGGATGTGGAAATGTCCGGTAGGTGAGTAAATATTTAGACGCTGGAGCTCTGGGTGAGAAGTGAGTCCTGGAGATCCAGACTTAGTCATTGGAATATAATTGGTGTTTGAAACTATGGGACTGACTAGCTTTACCTAAGGAGAATATATAGTGGATGAAAAAGGGGTGTCCCAGTACCGTGCCTGAGGCACTCCAGTATTTAGGAGTATAGCAGAGGAGGAAGAATTATCAAAGGAAACTGAAGAAAAGGAGCCAGTCTGGCGAACCGCTGGATGGTGTAGATCCCAGAAATCAGAGAAGAAAGCCTTCAAGAAGGCAGGAGGGGACCACTGAGCTGAATGCTGCTGGGATGTCAGGAAGCTAAGGGCAAAAAGAGAGATCCTTAATTGGTCAAGGCAGAGGCCCTTAGTGACTTTACTAGACCGTCTCATGGGAATGGTAGTGGGAAAAACGGGAGGCAAGACAGTGGGGACCATGACAGCTGCGGACCAAAAGGGTTTGCTCTTAGGGTTCTGTGTATTTAGGCTACATGTTCAGCTGTGAGCTTGGTAACGACCAAAGCAGAAAGGGAGGACTACACGGTTAGTCAATGTTCATCACTGATGGCGGAGCTTCTGTTCTGCTGTAGTAGAGACTTTTCACCTTGAACTTGGGCCTCTGCCTGTTCAGGTTCCCTGGGCAACCTGACTGTCAGAATTAGGGGGGGCATTTGCTCTGCACATCAGGACATCCTGTCTAGAGCCAGTTGATACTTGACTGCATGTTCTTTAATTAGTGGTCTTAACTGATAATAGAAAGTGAATTACAGCCAGGGATGCTTTAGGCTATTTCTTTGCCTACTAAGAATTAACCTTTTCTGTTGTTCAAGTTGGAGTTTATGAGATACGAGGCACTTACTAAAGCCAGAATTGTGGTACAGAGCATCATTTGTGCAAGAAACCAGAATTTTCTGTATTGTCAGATTATTACAGTTCATCGAAAACTCCCATAGCATCAGCATTTGCTTAACCAGGTGTCAGCTTGCTTTATAGGTCCCCAGAACATAGACTTAGGTTTCATTACACTTGTTTTCAAGGATAATGATTCCATGAAGGTTTAGTTTTCCTAGAGTTTGTATGTTTAGGCAGAAACGTTTGCCTTTGGTTCACTAACAGTCCACCTGTTCTATCCTAGCATTCTGGCATTAATTTCTGGACCTTACTAAAACAGAACATCAAAAGAAATCTACCAGACTAGAGTCCTTTGTTTATTTTCTGACTCTGCCTCACATTTGTGTGTCTGGCTTCTGTTTCCTTGCAGCTACCATACTTGCATCTGGCATGGTATTTGAACCTTCAGACACGTTCTCCTGAATTAACCTTGGATGATTAAGCCCAGATCCTTTGGTTATGCCAACATTGCTGAATTGCTTCTTCATTAAAAAAGTGTTTTCCTTCTGGAGAAAAATATAATTTGAAAAGATACATGCACCCCAGTATTCATAGCAGCACTATTTACAATAGCCAAGACATGGAAGCAACCTAAATGTTCATCGAGAGGTGAATGGATTAAGAAGATGTGTTGTGTGTGTGTGTCTGTGTGTGTGTATACACACACACACAGACACACACACACACACAATGGAATATTACTCAGCCATACAAAAGAATGAAATAATGCCATTTGCAGCAACATGGGTGGACCTAGAGATTATCATAGTAAGTGAAGTAAGCCAGACAGAGAAAGACAAATATATGATATCACTTATATGTGGAATCTAAAAAAAGTGATACAAATGAGCTTATTTACAAAACAGAAATAGACTCACAGACATAGAAAAAAAACTTATGGTTACCAAAAGATGTGGGGGGAGGGATCAATTAGCAGTTTGGGGTTAAAATATACACGCTACTCTATATAAAAAAAATAACCAACAAGGACCTACCGTATAGCACAGGGAACTATATTCAATATCTTATGATAACCTATAATGGAAGAGAATATAAGAAAAGAATATGTGTGTGTGTGTGTGTGTGTGTGTGTGTGTGTGTGTGTGTGTGTGTGTATATATATATATATATATATATATATATATATATAT